CGTGTTTAACTAAACCAAGTTTACCGGATTTAAAATCTGTGACAAAATTCTGTAGCAGAATCAGTTAATGAGATGAAAACAGTCACCTGCTTGCTGTTTTATTATGAGATTTCAGACTAATTGTCAAAGCAGGTTTGAGTCAGATTTCGAGATATGATGTCACATCAGGGTAGCAAGGGATCTGCTCATTGAAGGATGTGTTGCCTTGCCAAGTTTTTGCTGGCTGAGAAACCAGGGGTCTATCCCTTATAAGCCTAACCTTATGCCAGAAACGGGTTGTTACCTGTAGGTTTTATGATCGAAACTGCACGCACATCTAAAAGAAAATATCACTTTTATTAATTCAAGTACTTGCACAATGGTTGAAAGAAAAGTGTTTGGTTGGTTGGCGGCTTTGCACTATCCGAAGATACTGTAAATCGTCTTGGTACAAATCATGTACTGTTAGAATGATATTTTTGTTGGCGAGAAATTTTGTTAGAGTGAAATGCAGATAGATGATGGTGAGAACTGACCTGATGCGCGCAAGGCGGTCTCGGCTACTCTATAAGTCTTAAAACGAAGTGGGGCTATTTTTCGGCCCAAAGGGGTTGGGTTCACCAAGGATGTTCTCTCCGGCCCCTGTGTTTCTCTGTCCTTAACATAAAGTGGTCTTGACATCAAAACAGTTCAAAAGAGAAAACTTGCCTGGTTTTGAAGTTAGACTGTCTGTATCAGCATGATACAAATTGCTCTTGAGCTAGCGTTAGTACCAATCCCCATATGAAAAGAAAACCCTTTTTAAATAATGGTTTTACCTTCCACAGGTTTGAAAACCAAAGATGTTCAACTTAACAAAGATGTTAAGCGTGAAAATAATTGGTTTCGCTAGAATACAGGCTTAAATGGCTACGAATAGGTCCGCTATGCGTACTTGTGGTTCTACTGTACGTTCATTATACTTCACCGGCGTTTGGTTTGGTTGTAACAGCGATCGGGAGTCGAAACGGTCAGTGTTGGTTGAAATTGCAATTTAGTTTGAGAACTTTCAAAATAACATATCAATGCTACTGTGTAGACCAGAGTACAATATTCTGTTTTATATCTTCAGAACCATATATAGCCTGCGTGGCTGGCGGGATTCGCGCGCGAGTGATTTTTGGCGGCGGCACCGCCATTTGATTGATTTTGTAGAAAGTGTGAAGCAACCTTTAAAGCTTCTATGAGACTTGTTATGGATAATTAGTGCGCACATAATTCAGGTTGCAACACGTCAGAGAAATGTCACAACGTATTAACTAAGAACAACGAAGCCGGTCATTACACCAACACTACGACAGCAGCTGAACTTTGCTACAAGCAGCTGTATATAGTATAAAGAATATCGAATACATCGAGCTATAAAAGTGTTGGAACCCTTAAGCAAGTTGGTTTAGGCAGGAGAAGTCATATCGGCGTTCTTTCCCATCCATGTAGAAAGTATGTTTATTTATTGGTTGAACGTAAAATACATATTACTATGAATTCTTTGCTCTTTTTCC